AGGCAGGTGGATCTCTGTGAGTTCGAGGCCGGGCTGGACCGATAGCCTCTGAAACAATACAGAGAAACTCTGTCTCATAAAAACCAAAAAAAAAATTGCTTATCAGAAGCTGGGAAGGGGAGAGAGTACACTCAGATGGACAGAGATAGCATCAGCCAATGGGAAATGTGGTCTGCTTCTGCTACCTAACTGCTTTGTTGGATTTGCTGGTTGGATTATGAAAGAAATCTAAGAACGCCTGCTCTTCAGATAGACGGGAAGTTGCCACCCCGAAACATCTGACTGCAGGAAATTACAATATGCCGCTCCAAAATAAGCCTCTTTTGCATAAAAATATTTTGAGCTAATTATTCTGGGAAACAGCAATCACAACGGATGCTCTTAAAAGAGAAGTTATCTCTGTGTGAGAGAAATCACATTTAAAAAAGGAAATATCCATGTGTAAGACAGTCTCTGTCTGCAGCCAGGAGAAAGGATGAGTAAAATAACCAACCAGCAACTCCTACCAACTGAAGCCTATCAAGACTTACTCATTATATTTCTTGAACTGCTCCCCATAACTAAGCCCTCACCATAAACAGCCTTCTTGGAATTTAAACTACCTGTTTGAAATTTACTCATTTCCTCTGGTACCTCCCTTATACACAAGAATTATGCATTAGTATGTTTGTGGTGCTATAACAAAATACCCATGACCAGGCAATTAATAAAGAATGGAAATGTATTTCATGCAGTTATGGAAGCTGAGATGTCTAATATCAACATGCTGGCACTATCTGGTGAGGTTGCTCTCTGCAGTCAAGATGGCGTCTTTATTCTTCTGGAAGGGAGGAGCAAGGCATCTTTACATGGAAGAAAGGTCAAGAAAGGGCTCCCCATCAACCACAAACCCTTTAGTAAAGATGCCAATCCTACTTATGAAGACTCACTCTCACAATTTAATCATCACCCAAGTCCATTCTTGAATACTTTTGTCACATGCATTTTGTTTCAACATGAACTAATTTGCTGTTTTAATGCAAATCAATAAGTGACAAAATAAAACAAGGACTGTTTATTTGTACTCCTAAAAAAATTACACCTGAAAGTAGCTTTCTCTAAATCTGATCATTTGGATAAGTGCATATTAGTTTTCCATTTGATTTTTTTCTTGTAGATAGACATCCTTTGAAAGCAGTGTGAGAGTTTCCAACTTTAACTTGATTTTGCTTTTGAATTTATTTGACTAGAAAATCCCTTTGTATCTGTAACATTCTGTTTGAATTACCATAGTAAATGCCATAGATTGGGTCCTTCAATGGCATAGAGCTGTATTTTCACAGCTGCACATGGCTGGTTTCTGATAAACTGCCCTCCATGGCTTATGGAAGGATCTCCTTTCTCATGGCATTCTCTCTTTAATCTTTCCTCCATGAACTAGAGAGTCGGGGAGAGATCTCTCACACCTCCATTTAACTGTCTATTGAAGGCTCTTTCTGTACATACAGTTACACTGAGGCATGGACCTTCAACACAATATAAATTGTGGAGGGCACAATAGAGCTCAAAGCTGTGCACAAGGAATAGTACAAGTACTGAGCTTTCTCTTATAGCTTTAAAATTTTAAATTAATGTTACATGTGATACTTTAAATCTTGTCTTGAATATCTGAGAACTAGTGTGGACCAAATATACATATGCAAATGTGTGAGAATTACTATGGACAAACCATAAGTTTGTTTTGGGTTATTCATGACAGTGATTTATTTGAACAGTCTGTGTATCTTTTAGACACAGACCAGATGTCCAATAAACACCTGCTGATAAACAACGGAGCTGCCACAAGTGTTTGCTGCTATTTGCATATTGAATGTCTTAAGTGTTTGTTAAGTGGTTTGCACTTAAAAAAGTACTCATTCGTAGTTGCCTTTCTTTCAGTAAAGACTTTCTGTTAGGCAATAAGTATATTTCAATATAAGTGGCATAGTCTCTGGCATGTAAAGACTATGTGTTATTATTGAACTAAAATTTTACATATCATAATAAATATGACCCAGTTTCTTGCTGACTTATGGGAGGAGAAAAATATTATGATGAAAGAGACTTCATAGTTCTCATTTTATTATGAATGGAAACTTTTTTGGAAAATACACCATTTAAAGACACAAATAATTCCTTCTGAGTAACTCACACTCAAAATTATTCCTTTAAAGATAGTATTTGTATTAATTTTTGAGAATTTCATAAAATGTATTTGGGTTATATTGACTCTCAGTTTCTCCCTATAACTCCACCCAGGTGCACCCTGTATTAGTCAGGGTTCTCTAGAGGAATGGAAGTTATAGAATTATTCTCTATCTGTCTTTCTGTCTGCACACATGTATGTGTGTGCCTGTGCAGGTAGGGGTGTGTGTGTGTGTGTGTGTGTGTGTGTGTGTGTGTGTGTGTGTGTGTGTGTGTGTGATTTATTAGAATGGCTTGCAGGCTGTGGTCCACCTGATCCAACAAGGGCTGCCTATGGATAAAAGGCCCAAGAATCAAGCAAGCAGTTGTTCAGTCCATGAGGTTTGATGTCTCAGCTGGTCTCAATTCTGCATTAGAAGTGTGTCTTCCCACTTCAAATGATTTGATTAAGAAAAAATCCCTCTTAGGTGGGCACAGTCATTTGGGCTTTAGTGAATTCTATGTATAAGTTGACCACCAAGAACAGATATTACACATCCCTACCTCCTTACCACTCTAACTTTGTGTTTGCATTCTTTCAAAATAATCGGCCAACTCCAATTTATGCTTTCCACACACTCCTGTGTGTGGGCTATCCACTGGAGCTTGGTCACCCTATCAGGAGTTATGTCCTTAAAGAAAACTGACTGTCCTTCCTCCAGAAGCTGTCAACTCTCCATAGCTCCTTGGTTAGAGGTGGGGACTATGAGCTAGATTGTTGATTGGCTTGATCCTGTGCAGCCCTATGCAGGCCAATAAAGATGCTGGAAGTTCATGAGTGTAGTGGTCCTGTCACGTCCAGATGACTCTTTTTATGCCCCTCTCCAACCTCCAGTTCTTGCGATCTCTCTCCCCTTTCTCTATGCTTCCTAAGTCCCGAGGGGAGAGGTATGATGCAGATGTCCTATTTGTGACTGGGCACTCCACAAAAACTTACTCTTTGTATTCCGACCAGCTGTGAATCTCTGCATTAACAACTGTCTACTGTACAAAGAAACTTCTCTGACAAAGTCTGAGAGCTGCACTGGTCAAAATTGTTCCTTAAGAGTTCATTTATTTAAAATTTTTTGACTCAAGTACATTAAGTCAATGTTTAAATTTTTAATTTAGAAAATACATCAAAGAAAAATAAATTCACATGTTTGAGATACATTGTAAGGATTCATTGGCTATTAGTTATCTTGTAACCTCTAAAAGGGTAAAATTAATGATATTCATAATGAAAAGCCCCTAAAATATTTGTTGCCATATTGCTATCCTTTTGGCAAAAATACATTTCCTTCATTTGCTTTCTGTCCCATAGAAACCCCAAAGGGCTCATTTTAGAAAAAGTAACTTATCAACCCAAATCTCATTGTCTATGGACTCACAGACAGGCAGGCCAAGCTACCCTTAGGGTCAGTTTCTTGCTTTGGCTCTCAATAGTGGAGTGACCTCTGGTGTCTTCCTTAATGATTCCCAGATCTAGTTTCTCCCTTCATAAAATTAGAATAGCATTAGTGTACTGTTTCTCTCCCGATAATTATAAGCTAACCTACTTGAAATAATGTAAATAGATCCCAGAATGTAGAAGTGCAGCACATGAAACCAATTCATTATTATTATTTAAACGACCATATTATCATGCTTTTTTAATTACCGACTTAATCTGAATTATTTAACTTGTCTGTAATAATGAATCTGAAAAAGTCTTGAAGAGGAAAATTTCCAACCATGATTATTTATGTACTTATTTAGTTTTGAGACAAGGTGTCAATGTAGCCCTGGCTGGTCTGGGATTTCCAAGAGATCGACCTGTCCTTTGCCTCCCGAGTGCTGACATTAAAGGAGTGCTCCATCACACCTGCTTGAGTCCAGACTTTCCCACTCATTCCTACAGGCCCTCTTTCAAATCTTCAAATTCATGGCCTCTTGTCATTGTTTATGCATACATACACATAAAGAAAACCTCCTCAGTCCTTATATTTGTATGTATGCTTCCAGGGATAACCATTTGACATTGAATAACCAGTTGGTATACTCTTCCCTGGGTAAGACTATTTCTCCCTCTCTCAGCTTTCCTTAGTTGCCCATATATCTTTATGTATGGTTGAGGACTCCGTGTGCTTTCCCCATCCACATTAGCATGTCTATTGGTATCATCCTTGTTTAGTTCATGTTTAGGCAGTCATGTTGATTAATTACTTTTTTCTATAAAAGAGCTTTCTATGGGTTAGACATGGAATAGAACAAAGGTGAAATAATGAAATCTTCTAACTGAACCTTGGCTTCCTGCAATGTTTATCCAATCCAGGACTTCAAGATTTGTTGTTAGATGCATCAGAGACTATTACTATTATGAGAAAATAGAAAGTTTCTTAGGAAGCACAACTTCACCCTGCAAGAGTTTATGGATTTATGTCCAGCTCTATGATTTAGAGAGAAAGGGGAACAGTCCTTTCCTGAGTCAGAAGTTTTTCCTCAAACTATTATAGAATAACAATTATGACTACCCAGTTCGTATTTTTATTGCTGGCTTGAAAAAGATGACTCTACAATGCTTACACTAGGAGGATATTATTCTACAAATAAGAGCCCAGCATGACATTTATGAGAAAGCCAGGGTCCTCCTGCGCAAAGCTGATTGGTGCTCAGCCAATGGGCGCTAGGATGCTGCCAATAAAGGCTCCTTGCTACCCAGGGCTGGACAGATGCAGGGCAGGGGGGGGTCATCTCTGCCTCTGAACCCTGGGAAAATGCTAGCTGTCTCTCTGAAAAGCACACATCTGTGGCCTGCAAAGAAGAGCCAGACCTTGAAGATGAAACGTCTGCTTCCCTGGTTCCCTTCCATCCTGGTCATCTACTGCTTCTGTTTGCTACAGATTCCCTCCTCAGGTAAGGGGACTATCATCACATCCAACTGAGTTTTATTGAAGACAGAGACAGATCTTTACCCTTCAGGGTCATTCTCAACAGAGTTGAGCTTCCTTCCTTCACCGGCCCTCACATCTGCCCTCTTGTTTTCAGGGGTGACTCAGGATGCTAGACACAGAGAGACACCACAGCCTTTTACACAGAGACTTTCCCCCAGAGATACTGGGATTAAATAGCCCTTGCCCCAGTAGTATCTTGGTTTTGTGGTGGTGAAATGGAAGGGTATGGTCCCCATGTGAATTGGGGTAAGACCCTGCTTAGCAGTCTGCTTCAGAGATCCTGGAGGTGAGAACACAGGCAGAAAAACTAGGTTTACATTCCTCCAAGCTGAAAATGGATGGGCAGCTGAAGAGAACAGAGAACAACTATGCAGGCAAAAGGAATTATATTCCGGGGGTGGGGGTGGGGGCGAGAGAAGGTTCTAAGAAAGCTCAGGGGAACCTGCAGGCCAGCATCCTCCAGTCCCTTGGGCGCTGTCCGCGGTGCTGACCGTTCTCTGCACCTTTTCAATTTCTGGGCAGTGGTTTGTAGGGAGCCAGAAATGGGGAGAGGGTCTGAGGTCTCAGCCATGATCAGATTACCATCTCCAGGCAGTTTGTCATAGAATACAAGAAAGTGGACCATTGATGGAAATCCATGATTTGAAACAAGGACTATTACAAAAAATTGGGGTTTTCCATTAAATTCTGATTTAGAGACATAGAGAACCTTGGGAAAATACAGTGTGCTTGTTTTGTCCGAAAGAGTAATTGCAACATCTGAGCACTATAAGAAACAGCATCATCTTAACATCTCCAGAGCACCAGGTCTCCCCTATGGTTTCCCAGCCTGGCTTTTAGGTTCTTCTCGGCTGCTTTCTTTAACCTGTGCCTCACAGCCAGTCCTGGACAAGCAGCTGATGTGTCTATGACCTCCAATAGAATCTTGTTCAAAGTTTGCTGTTGAAATTTTGGTTTTTTAATTTGATTATCTGCATGTTTACATCCCCCCATTTTTCCTATTTGGTTTTGTTTTCTGAGGGTAGAATCTTGTGGTCTTCATTTTTGTATTGGCACAAGCCTCTCAATAAGACCTTGTGGTTTGCAGTACTTTGAATTATTAAATGATCATAATTATCAAAAATATTTTCCATTAATTCACTTGTGACATGATCACATCTCACTTCCAATCAGGGATTCTTGTTAGGCTCTGTATGGGTTTTCCGGGTTAGATGAAGATTTCTTGCTTGTGACAATTCTCAAAATAATTGAAGGGACTTAACATATACATCCCAATTTTAGTCTTTATAGAGAAAGCTAAATGTACCTTTAACTCTACATTACCTTCTATCATTTTGAGTCAAGTTATTGCTCTTCAAGACTTGAACACCATTGCTTAAGTATTCAGGAACATTGCCTTAGCTTTCTTTTGCCTCAGACTGCAAAGAACAAATAACCCACAGTGTATATATATATATATATATATATATACATACATGCATGTATGTGTGTATGTATGTTTATGTGTGTGCATGTATGTATATTTGTTGTTGATAGAATAAACTTCTCTTGAGCCATATGCCCCCATATTATAAAATATCCAAGTTCATGGACATTATATGTATTTTATTTAATCTTATTTTGTTAGTGCTGGCCTACCCTAATGGGTTCTTTTAGCTGCATAAACCTCTGAGTGTAATGTCATGTGTATATGACAAGATGTGTTCATGTAAGTCAGAAGGGGCTGGAAGGGTTCAATTACATACTAGTAGCAATTCTCCCAAGCTCCCCACCTCTGGAGGGGCTGATGGAGTGGAGACAGGTACCTGCATGTCTCAAAAGTCCTGATTAGATGCACTACTTTGTTATATTACTTTCTGATATTTGATACTCACAAATTCCACCAAAATATAAACTGGTTACTCCAGAAGTATTTTCTCCTTCTTTCTTGAATTGCTAACAGATGGACTAGAAACTCCTATTACACCGAACACAGGCAGTTTTAGAATTATGTTGTTGCACATCTTGGATTTGATAGTATTAGGTAGAGGTGTCTCATCTTTTCAATTCCTCTTAACTATCCCTTCTGTTGCCTTCTCAACTGTTGCATTCGCAATGACTTCTTTTGCTCAGCTCTGTGATGGATTCTATTAAGACCTCTGCATAATTTTTATGGCATGGGTGCAGAAGCAAATGCTATGATCTCTTTCTGGAACTGATGTTTTTATTATCTTTTGTTATAGGAGTTTCTCAACCTTTAGCTGATTCTCCAGATGGCTTGGATATTATGGGGCTTGAGGTATGCTATTACGCAGAATTGTGAGATTTGTATTTAGTCCCAGCCTTGAAAATATCATGTGGTTAATGTTCACTTAAAACTATTTTAAGATTAGATATTTGGCTGCAGCAGAAACTCACTGCGATTGCTGCATGGCCTCATTTAAGACATCCTGAGAGTTGAATTGAAATTCACTGCATGGTGTGAGGAGATAATTCAAGGTTCATAAATGGAACAATTTTAGAATTTTAAGCATGCTGAAGGGAAATTCTACTGGATAAAGAATTTATTCTTGTATTTTATTTATTTCCTCATTTTGTCTTTTAGCAACTGGTATACTGTCTGAACCAGTGGAAAACACTTTCTAACCAACCTAAGGTAAAAATAATACATAGATCATGTAGTTATATCAGTATATATGTTTACATCATTTTCTACATCATAGCATGTTTAATAAATGACTCTTTTGTTGTCTTCTAGAGAATGTTGTATATTTGTGTATGTGTGTGTACAAAAATGCAATTTTAGGGAAAATCAAGTTTCTCTCTTTGATATAAGTTGCCACAAAATATTAGTACTTCATGTGTATTCTTAAGATTATATTATCTATGTAATAAAATTAGTTATATGCCATAATGTATGTTACATATTATAAATTGATGCATTATGGTGTAACAGGTCTCAAAACAGTAGATCTCATGTAAAGGACTATACCAACAGTAGCTATAGTAACCACAATAGAAGTAATTCAGGGGATACAAAGTCAATGCTGATTAATTGCAAATTCTAAAGAATGGTCTTAGGATAGTTCACTGTTCTCAGCATAGCCTATCAGTTTTCACCTTGAGTAGCATGAATAAAATTTCTTCTTCTCTTCTCACTTCCCCAACCCACAGAATCACACGGTTCAGCTACATCCAGCATCTCACTGTTGCCCAAAAGCACCAGACTTTTTCTTTAGCCAGAAATGTCTCTGCCTTCCCCAGAGCCTGTAGTTACAGCCCAGGCTCTCAAATGGAGCTGTCCCTGTTCCTTAGATGGCTTGTCTGTTGCATGTGTATAATTGCTGTAACAGCTCCAGTAATCCTGAAGGATGAGGACTTTAACTTCCATGCAGTGCTGTCAACAGCACCCACAGCATAATGAAGGATAGCCACTAACAGCCTCTTGCTGCACCTGCTTCTCATTCAAAATCCAAGTGCTGTATTCTCTCTTACAAGGCATGAAACAGTATTTGCATCTTGTTTTCAGTTTACCGCTATGCATATGTTTATATGATTGTTATAACCGTATAGTCCCAGCATCTGGACAAAGCCTCAAAGTGAGGACTTGGAGCTCCCCAATTCTTTTCCACTGCTTCCCCCACCTTGCAGCACCTTGCACCCTGCTTTTCATATGAAAGCTGTGGTGTCTCCCGCGTGAGCAGGGACAGTGGAAGTGTAGGTGTCCCACTGCCAGCTGCAGTTTTCAATTGGATTTCAGGGTTTCTAGGTGCAAGGACCTAGCTGGAATGAATTTCCTTTTACCTTTTTCATTTCCTCAGAGCCTATCACACCCATTATTTTTGGTTACAGACTATCAAGCAGTTTTTCAATGAACAAAAATGCCAATACTTTGAAATTATGAGTAGAGAACTGATGCCTCTTCCGGGCTTCGTTGTTGCCCCCAGCTGTCCAGTGTTGGGATAAATTGCTGGAGTTTCTAATGTACGACTGCTCTGTTCTCCACAAGCCCCTTCTTTGTCTGCAGGAACTTCTGTGCTCAAGAAACTCGGGAAGTGGTTGTATTCCACAACCAATGTCATCTGCAGAAACTCTCCAAGCTCTGCTTTTCTAGATATCCCATGAGATCAGAAGGAATTTAGACAGGAAAAAAACTGATAGGTTCTATGAATAGATGCCAATTTATTCCTAATTCAGAAGAGATGCTTGAGAACTTGCCACTGCAAACTACTCGGGATGGAGTAATGATTCACAGAAAATTACCTGCCCTCATAGTGCCCTCATGAAATGCTACATGAGTAAAACTTGATTATTGCTTTTCTATGAAAAGAAAAGAAGACAATAAGAAGGATACATATGAAATCTGGAGAAGACTTATGGACAGCTGGAAAAGAGTTGAATAAACTATTGATTTTTATGAAATAGGGTAAAAATTTCCCCCCTTAGGTTGAAAAGATAAGTTGCGAAAGATAACTTTGTCTTAAAAACCTGTCAACTACAGTCTTTTTTTTTCTGAAACAGGGTTTCTCTGTGTAGTCCTGGCTGTTCTGGAACTTTCTCTGTAGATTAGGCTGACTTGGAACTCACAGAGATCCACCTGCCTCTGCCCCCTGAGTGCTGGGATTAAAGGCGTCCACCGCCACCTCCCGTCTGTCAACTATAGTCTGAACAGTTTCATAATATTTGAGTAAAACCAGTCAACTTCATAGAGTGACTCACACCAACTTCATCAGATGCCTGCTCCAGTAAAACTCCATGTAATTTTCTTCTCAATTCTCTTTCCAGGAAAACCAGGATATATACAAAAGGGTGAGTTCCGGGCAGTGCCTAACACACACTTTGTGCCATGTTTGGAGCAAGTGACACTTGGTGCTAATGTCCCTTTCTTATTTATTCAGTTTTTATTTCACTACACCAGAACTCAGAAGCCAGTACATCCAGTTGGCTCTCAGGTCAGTATTTTATCATGCTTTCTGTAAAACAAAAATGCTGCTTTCCTGTATCTTTTATGGCTTCTGAATTAATATACAAACACAGCCAAGCATTAGGCAGTGAACTCCTAGATGCCTATGAATAATAGATCCCTATATACGTTCCCTCTCCCTGCCCAGGCAAGAATTGTCTCTTTCTCATAGGGATGGGGGTGGCGGGTAACTGACAGATCTCAAATGTTAAAGAATAAACTGCAGAAAAGGGAAAATGAGTAAGGAGTGTGCTCATGTACTTAGAAGCACAGGGAGAGCCTGGTAGTGCTACACCCATTCCCGTTCTCCTTATTGCTTTCCATCTTTATATTTTGAAAAGTACTGTGTGATGCATACAGCGCTGCCCCCCCCATCCCATGGTGATCCATGCATGTCATCTTCCTTGGCTGACAGGGTGTAGATGCACAACGGGAATAACAACAATCGCTTCTAACTTGTGTTTACAGCTCCAGGGTTCAAATTCCAGTTTTGTGCTTGTTAGACAAGCACTCTTTCACTGAGCTACACACCCCACACACCTCCACTCCGTTTTTTGACATAAATTCTTAATATGTAGTCCAGGCTGGGCTTCTTCCTACTCCTGCGGCTAAGATTACAGGGTGGGTTCCATCTTGCCTGCTGGTATCCTGGTATTATGTTGACCCTGCTCCCTGACAATGGGCAGGATACACTCACCAGCATTCAGGTAGATACTTAGATGGTTCAAAGGGCCCTATGCTGCGTGGCTACGTCAGGCATGGCTGTGTAAGAACTCTGTACGCATGTGCAAGCTTTCCCTTTTAAGCGAGTACTTCCCGCCTGCTTGTCCCTCATCCCCTTTCTTGTCCCCTTTCCCCCTTCCATCTCTGTTCCCGGTTGGACCCTTTTGTTCCCTTTCCCCAGTAAACTCCAGTGGGTTTGTTGAATTTTGTGGTTCGTGTTTCAAAACAACAATGCCCATTGACTTTCTTAAAACTCTTAACGACCCTCGGGAACAGCTTATGTAGGTGGATTTCTGTCGGGTGGCATTTGAGAAACACTGGGAAGGTCATAAAATCTAGATTTTAGTTTGGATGCGCTGTCACGGCAACTGAAATTCTACTGTGGGAAGGCTACTTATTTGTACACTTAGGGCTTCCCAAGTCTTCTTAAAGAGTGTCAAATACTTCGAAAATACCTTTTCCCAAAGAGGCAAAGTCGCTGATGTTCTGGGTCTAGGTACGGAATTAGGTAAGGAGGGGCCAGCCACCACAGAGCAAAAAACGAGCAAAGTAAGGGGAGGGGCCATGGTTGTTTCGAAAGTAAAGCACCAGGGTAGAAAAGGATAGACACCCTCGCCTGGGATTGTGCAGGCAGGTGAAGCCCAATATTGTGGCAGAACAGCACATCTGAAGAGGGAGGAAGGATGCGGGGCAGCAGCTGCTCTGAGGCTAAGACAGAGTGCTTAAGCAACTGATCTGTTCTGTGGGGAGATGTCTAAATGGTGTGTTGGAACTGAAACCTGTATCAAGGCAATGAGGCTCTTTATTGAAAACATAAATGTTTTGAGCTTAGGCTCCGGAATTGATTTTACTCTGAAAATTAAACCCATTTGTAAAAGAGGCGAGTCAAGAACGGCAGGCATGTGCATAGCCCGGGGCTCTCAAATATTCGGCCGGAGTCAACAAGATTACTGCTCCTCTCTGAGACTCTCCGGCCTCACCCACAGCGCCTCTCTGTTGCAGTTTGCGCCCGTGCACCCTTTGATGCGCCTGGCTGCCAAGCTCGCCAGCCGAAGGATGAAAAGATTGCAGTATCCAGTACGTGCTTGCTTCCTCCAACCCTACTACTATGGCTTACTGTTAGCATGATGGCAAATGTTTGATGTCATTCTGTATGACTCATTTGTGTTCTTGCCTTGGATCCCAGTCTCCACTTTGGTGAAGAAACACTGGCCCCTTAACCTTGACCTTCCGGTCTGTAACCCCATGATGTTGTGACTGGAAGGGACAAGGGAAGGACCCTGTGGCCCAGCCCCAGGCCATTCCACCCCTCTCTTCCTTTGCTTGGTTCATCCAAAGTTTTGGGTTATTTTTTCAATTCTGTCCTTTCGTCCCATTGTGAAATTTGCCCTGGTGATATCTCTGCTTCTCGTGGCCTTACCTGCCTGTTTTAAGGTATTTTCCCCCCTTAAGTTTAGTAATGACAGTTTCATTAATAGATGATCCTGTTCAAACTGTTAATAAAAATATTAATCAAGATTTTGTGTATGACAGCAAAAATCATTAATAAAGAAAAGTTTCTTTTGACTATCTTGAGTGCAGGTACAGTGGTGAATATGACCTGTTTTGTCCAGAAACTTCCTAGATTTAGAACCAGAAGTCCTAAGACTTCAGGAAATGACTCAGCCACTAGAACACTGCCTGAAATCCTTGCTGCCTGAACACGGGCCTCTAAGTTCACTCCAACTCCATTCTTAAACTGAGTTATAACCAAAACTGAGCTGAAGATGGTAAGGTAGCTTAACAATGAAAATTTGCTTAAATCAGAAGTACATTTCAAAGTTGGGTTTATTCAGAGTTGCAAGCAAAGTAAACATGCTTGGATCCCAAACTGCAACACTGATTGCATGAATAAGCTTTCCTTCCAGAATTTGCAACTGGCACCACTATCAGCTGTTCTCCACAGCTGCTTTTTCTGCATCTGTCTTCTGATGACCTTAGAATGGAACCAGAAAGGAACACCACCACACTAGGGCAGCCATGAGGCTATGGCTGCAGTTCCTGATTAATCAATTTATAATTTGTTCCTTTCCAGGCTTCCAGGACTGCTACTGTGGGCTTTCCTAAGAAGGCATGTGAACCTTGTGAGAACACTTGTTTCCAGAAATCTCTAGGAAGAAGGGCAGGGAAGTGCCTGGAACCTGAAGCCCTTCCACTCCCATTTGGATAGAATAGATCTTCCTAGAGTGTCCTGAATATCTTCTCTAAGCATTTAAGTTGGGGATCCTTGGGCTTGTCTTTGAGGTGGAAAGTGATCATGGAAAGATGGGGTTAATATTTCACATGGTTAATGTTTAATTTCTAGTCTCACAGATGAGTCACTTGGGCCATCTGTTACTAAGGACTTGTCTTCTCTGGTTCAGGGACCCGCATGCCATTGTACAAATTTAGAAAAGGAAAAATACTTCTGCCAATGCCAACCCTATAGACCAGTGAATCTCAGACTTGAGCATGCCTTAGAGTCTGGTTAAAATTGGGATAGCTAGGCTCTACCCTGAGATTTAATAGGTCTGAGGTGGACTTTGAGAATTTTCATAAACAAGTTCTCCAGATATCTTTATGCTGGTGGTCTGGGACCGTCCTTTTTGAAACCTTCTCCAAGGATGTTTCTTTGACTTAGAATATGACTGCTTTTTTTGTGTGTTGCAGGATCCTCCTTCTATCTTGAGGCTGCCGTTTTTCCTTTTCAGGGTATAACTGATTTCCTTCCTTCTGTTTATGATTGAATTCACTGATGTTATCCCAACTGCCAGAATTAGATGGGCACCGCTCTCATCTACTTAGGATGTGGCTCTTACAAACTTGTAAGAGAAACAGAGCAACATGACATAGGCTGAGCATGTCCATATTCTAGGAGCTTGGAGGGCAAAGGGGAGGGACTTCTGTTGATGGACAAATACTAGGTAAACCAGAGTCCACAATCCCAAGTACTACATTCCAGGATATGTGACTTAAAACTACACTGGCATGAGGAGTCCAGGTGCCATCTTCTTTCCCAGGCGACAAAAAGGTCCTTGGTGAGGTCATGGAGTTTTCAATCTTGTTCTATTCACTAACTGTACACAAGGCCTTGGCTTCTCATTATTTGCATAAAAATGAGTGAGTCCAACTTAATCCATGACTGCTCCAAGTTGTATTCTGAGGACCACTGGTGCTAGCATGCTGCAAAAAAAAAAATAAGACAAGATTAGGAGATGTAGCACTTAGTCTTCCTGATAATCCACAGAATATCCTAGCCCATTGAGGGCTCTGGGAAATGCCAGGGAAAATATCACATCTTTATTTCCCTAACATCTTTAACCATAGGAGTACCCAGCTTCCACCTTTTCATTTTCCTGCCCTACAAATGTACAGTTTTCTGGGAAGAACTCTGAGACGCAGTAGATGACTGTTAGGTCTCCGAGTGGAGAAGTGTGGAAAGTAGGAGAGCTCACCACAAGATGAGCTAAGTCTAAGGTAGGAAATGGGATGGAATATAGGTATAATGTTCCTGGGAGCAGTGAGGGCCTGGATTATTGCCCAAAAGGATGGATGCAAACTTGTCATGTAAGTCTCCAAGGATGGGAGTGGGAGCTCCGTTAGAAAAACAAGACCTCTGTGTTCAGTAGAGAAGAAAGTCCAAGCAGTTGTGTCTCCATATTTGTAAGACTTTCTCCTTTGCTTTTTATTTTTTTCAGCCCAGGAATGGAAGATACATTGACAACAAAATCCAGTAGACAGGCCAAGGTCAGCTTAATTGCAGATTTTCTCTTCCAAGCAAATATTCTATGTCTGACCTGGAGGTATTAGAAGTAGAAGGTGGAGATGCTATTGTTCAGACAAAGGACTCTGCCTCTCCACAGAACCATAGACCTCCCAATCCAATCTGGCAGAAGCAGGCTGTTCCAGAGATGTTATGGCCCTTGCTTTCACATGCGGTTTTGAGAAGTTTATAATTTCTGGGCAGAGTTGAGATGGATATTAAGCCTCAGATGGCCCAAGTTGCCCTCCCCACCTCAACCATTTGACCCTTCCAGTGAAGAAAACACTACCCTGGTATGTTGAGGTAGTACTCCAAGGACAAGGAAGTTCATGCATAGGGGAAACTCTAGCCTGCTCTGTCTCTCCTGAGGACCTGGTTTCATGAAGGTACGAACATTATCTATTGCCAATCTCAGAGCTCTAGCAGTCCAAGGTGCCTGAGGAAGCTGCCATCACCCTGGGAGATGGAACTATCCAGCAAAAGCAGGAGTAAGGTGTTACCCAAGGCCAAAAGATTTATATAAATCCAATAACCTAATTAGATACAAAAATAAATACCTGTACTAACCCTTTCTCTGTCCCATCAGTCAGCTCCCAAATAATGACATATAAGCTTCTTATTAATTATGAAAACTTGGCCTTAGCTTAGGCTTGTTTCTAACTGGCTTTTGTTACTTAAATGAACCCATGTCTATTAATCTTCATGCTGCCACACAGCTCCTGGCTTTTACCTCTCCTCCTATATGTCCTGCTTCCTCTGCATTTGTCTGGTGACTCCCCCTTTCTTCTCTCTCTCTGTCCGGAAGTCCCACCTATACCTCCTGCCTATTTATTTTTTCATTAAACCAATCACAGTGTTATATTTTTAAACAGAGCAATTACATATCTTACAACAAATATAATAAGGAATAATTGCAATGAAAGCAATGCAGGTATTTGTGACATATAACATTACTGTGTAACTGTGAAATGTGCCTATCATAACTTGCATTTGGCCCTCTGCTTGATGCTGAGGATGGCTGCTGCACTTACACTGAACATATCTTTTGTTTTGCAGAATCCAACAGAACAAGACAGTTTGGATCTTGGAGGAAATACCAAGTTGCTTTATGTGTGTATTTTACAATGTTTCTGTTGCCCCATGCTCTCCAAAATGCTTAGTTGTATAAAAAGAAATAAAGCAGCACTTATGTAAGATTTATTTTTGTTGGAAGGCTGTGGGAATAGGTACATTACCTGAATAATAGATTTCTAGGAAATTACTGACTTGGGGATGAAGCAAGCTAGCTAACTTGATAACTGAGCACATAGATTTAGGATAAGCTAAGATCCTGGCCTCAGATCCTAACTCTGTTTGCTTTCTGCCTAGGTGACTTTGATGCATTAGTCAGATTTCCATTTCTGCAGCAAATACCTTATGTACATTACTTAGAAGGAGAGAAGATTTGTTTAGGGTCATGGCTTCCTTCCATATGTCCTTCTTGGACTGTTGCTTTGGCTCTGTGGCTTCCAAGTACATCATGGTAAAAACATGTGACAGAGAAGGGTTATTTACCTGCCCCATGGCAGATGGAAATCAAGAAAATGTAAATATGGGGTCCCAATAACTCCTCAGAGGGCGGAGCTTCAGTAACCTTAGTTCCTCACCTGCTTCATCCCTTAAGGTTCCACTTTGTTCTTGTAGTACCACAGACTAGTGACCAAATACACACACACACACACACACACACACACACACACACACACATATTTAATTAGAAACAATCTTATTTTACAAATCCCAGTTGCCTCTCCCTCCCACCCTTCCATGTCCCCCACTGACCTCCCCATCTCACCCCCATCCACTCCTCAGGGAAGGTTAGACCTTCCATCCAAGTCTGTCACATCATTTAGGGCAGGGCCTAGGCCCTCCCCTGTGTATCTAGGCTGAGAGAGTATCCCTCTATGTAGAATGGGCTCCCAAAGTCCCATTGTGCACTAGGGATAAATACTGCTTTCACTGCCAGAGGCCCCATAGGCTGCCCAAGCCCCCCAGCTGACACCCATGTACAGAGGGCCTGGTTCAGTCCTATGCTGGTTTCCCAGCTCTGACCAAGTATGTAACTTAGGAATCTTTAGATGGAGGGCATTCCAGAGCTAAACTGTAGTACTTGGGTCACTTACTTCCATTCCTGGGCCTCGGGTTTCCTGATTGGTAAAAAAGAATTTGTAAAATAGCGTCTTCTTGAGATTGACTTTGTAAGAGCTGAAGATGATCCACAGAAGAGCCTGGAATTGTCATTACCAGTGTGTTGGCTCTACTCTTTACTTGAAAGATGATCTTCATTCCACAGTATATATAAGGCACT